TTTTTAGATATGGGTACCATAACAGCATTAATGAAATCTTTGGACAGGGATGTCAGTTTGTAATGTGCTGATGAGCATGTGTGAGTCCCACTGGCCCTCCTCGTTTTCTCACTGTCACACAAAGCTGACGAGGGTCACTGTGTGTTGCAGCCTTCCCTTYGCAGTGAGCACAGTTTACCCCTGCTGCCAGGGCTGTGACATGAGTGCTGTCACAGCTCCATCCTCTCCTTGTACCCTTTTRCACTGTGCCTCATGAAAGTGTGATGAAAGGCGTCTCTCTGCACCCAGGCAGGGATGCTGGGCCCCTGGCTCTTCCCTTCTCTGACTCTCACAGAAAACAGGTTTCCTGCTAAGAAAATTCACATTGTCCTTGTGTCTGCAAAGGGGTCTCTCCCCAAGTGGAAATTCATTATTTATTTCCTCCAAGAATCAGTGATTTCCTCACGAAGATGACCTACTTCTGTAGATCATGAAACAGAGTTTCTTCTGCTGTAGCTGCTTGTACAGTCATGTTAATATACTGAATTTACATCAGTAAAGCAGCTACTCTTGTCACAGGTAGCAATTTGTATTGAATAACTGCTGCAGARCTGGTGCACAAGAGCCCACAGAAAGTGTACATTGTACATATTTATTGTACAYGTGAAATATGGTGGATTATAGGTCTACACATGGCCTTTTGGGGTACTTTGAACAGYACTCAGGTATAAATGAGATTTTGTGTGCTGTACATACCCCTTGGTATGTTCTAGGGTATACTGAGAATATTTGTTCATGATTATTTTATTCTTGTTTTTCTTTTTAAATATTTATTGCAACAGAGCCTTGTTATTTAAGACTTCTGCCTCAAGAGATTTACTGCACATTTCACACCTTTTTTTTTAGTGTAATTTTTAGTTCGATAATTTTTTTGACTTGTTATAAATTTCCTAGTGCAGACTCACTGYACTAGGTTTGCACCATAGTAACACATTACTCAGTGTGGAATGCTGATCTCACTTTCTGCCTGACAGTTACACAGGAAAAAGAGGAGGTTTGTGCTTATTTTGAAACGTGGACACACTAGCACCGTGTGTTTACCAGCTTCTATTACCTTGACACAAATATTCTCAGCCATGTTTTAGCACACTCAAATTTCAAAAGGAAAAATACATCTTTTTTAAGATGCAGGTTGCTGGTATTCAGCCTTTTGGTGACAAATCATTGAGCTGCTTGAAATTCATTCCATCATGTAACCAAAACTTRGTTTGGAACTGAAACACTGATGAGTAACACAGTGGTGTGGTGGCCATTRTGACCTGCCCTGGCTTCACACATCTCAAAAACATTTGGAATAACTGCTGAAAAGGTAATATGTGGCACGTCAAAATTTGCAAGAATGGAGGTTTTTTTTCCCTGAGGGTAATTACACTTCATATTTATGCAGCAGGTGGAAGAAGCAATCTATAGAAATTCTTCCCAGATTTCATCAAGAGCTCCTGGGCCATGTGCRGTCAGCTCTGAAGGACTGTGCTGGAGGGCTTCCCAATCCTACTGCCCCAAGGCCATCTGTCAGAAAATGTTATCCCAGAGATCCAAACACTAGAARCTCTAACTTCTTAGAAGCTGGGGCAGTCTGATTATCGGGGCTGGACAGATGCCATAGGCTCAGGAATTTAGAAGTTTTCTGAAAATGATTTTTAAGCAGTAGAGGAAAGTCAGGAGAAGCCTGAAAGTGAAAATCTGTGCAAGTGACTGATAATTGTTTGTTTTTTTTTTTTTAATTGTCCCCAGTCACACAATTATGGCTTTCTCTATTTGTTTTCATGGGTTATGACAAATTCATTATTTTTGTAGGGACTAAGTCTGACTGTGATTTGAACCTTCTAGAGTAGCCTTGACACTTTGAGAGCAAATGCCTTCTGTCTCACTCTGTAGAAGGGTTAAGTATGATTCAGCTCTCATGGTTTAATCAAATTCCTTTTATTTTTCATTTAAATGGACAAGGGTAGGTGCACATAAACAGATTTTTTKTATTGCTTGAAGAAGAGTAACTTACATGTGTGAATAAAGAGGTCACTTAAAATACCCAAGTGTTTAGCTCTTTGCTATTGTCTAAACTAGAAAAAAAAATCATTAAAAACCAAAAACCAAAATCAAAAATTTCTTTTTAAATTCTGTCTTTACAGGATCAGGAGATTCTTGTCTTGCCATCTGTTTTTTTTAATATTTCTTGTAGGGTGCTTTCTTGTTCTTGAATTACATAAAAAAACCCTGCAACTAAGAGATTCAGAGAAGAAAACCTGTAAACCAACTCAAGTCCATTATTTAAAATAAACAAGCATAATCTTCAGCAAGTCTTATTTTTGGTGTGGACAAAGACTCTAGTCTTAGGTAGAGTGGGTAAACACACATGTTTACCCACTGGTAATGGATAGTCATTAAACAAGAATCTTTAATGTTCTCATTAGAACAAAGAGAAACGTTAAATTAGATATCAACTAAGAAAAAAAATTATGATGTTACTCTGCTTAATTTGTTTTTTCACTTCACAGATATTAATTTAAACTGTTTACAATGAATAAATTGATGACATTTTTTATCATTTTTATATAATTATATATTATTATGATTATATATATATTATAATTGATATTTGCATATATTCCATGTTGAATTGTGGCTTTTGTTGGTAGATCTGTGATTCTTGAAACTTATTTTTTATAATTAATAGGAGTTTTCATCAAATAATAGAAGATTAATTTCATCTAGGTTTAAAAACAATCTCATTCTTTGTAGAATATATGTGTTCATTTAAACTAAACTGTATCGATTTTATAAATAAGTCTACATACTGTCAACACGTTATTGACTAGTATCCTCAAGCCTGATGGGAAACCAGTCCATTCTGCAAATACAAAATGTCTATAAAATGTTAGATCCTCTAACAACATTATTCTTAGGGAGTTTGAGTACTTCCCTGGAAAATTCTAAGCAATTTAATTCACSTAATACATCTAGGAAAGAGGGAAAATATTTATACTCAGCTTTTCTCCAAAAGTGTTTTCAAATCTCCCTTCTTTTGTCTAAAACCTCAAGGTGGTGATGATTGCCATAGCAWARCCCTTAGAATGCATTTTATTTTCCTTGTGAACAACTCAGCTGAAAATCCTGTAACTCAGAGCGGGACTTATTCGTGATCCATTAAGAGCCCTTGAGAGCTCCCTCTTAAGGGATTTATCATCACATTTGCTTCCCTTGCTGTCTGCGTCGCGCACAGGAGTGATAACAAACACTGTTTGGATCTAATGCTACAATCCATATCTCTAAGTATCACTGGCATCAAAGCAATCAGATCTTTATGATTTTCAAAGTCCCATTCACACAACTGAGAGACAAGTTCATTGTCTTCTTCATGTGACGATTAATCTCACCCAAGGGAGAGCTTGTAGGTTCACAGAGATGTTTTGTAGCATTGGTTTGTTTGYTTGYTTGCTTTCCAGAGCCAACTTATTAGTTCTCAAAGATACTGTGCATGATACTGGCATGATTTCTCAGAGCAGTAGTTGAGATGCTTTATTAGTTATTTCAGCTGAACATTTACTCTGTGAAACTGAGCTATCAAAAGAGGGCTTTTGGGACACTATCAATTTGGTCTAATGTATGAGCTCAAATTATTGTATCATTATAATACCCTGCCTGGTGTCTTTTGCCATTGATTTGCCTACATTTTTTAAATTGCTCAATCAGAAGCCATTTATCTGATAAATTATTAATGAATAAGTGTTTGTGATGGAAAAACAAAATACTCAGCGTTACAAATCATGTATCCTACAGGCAACAGCAGTCAGAATTAAACTGCTCTTGAGCCAAATAAGTGGTTTATGTAATGTAGATGGAAATTATGTGGTGAAATAAACACTTCATTGCAAAGAAAGGATGGCTGCTATTCTCCTAGACTTTTACAAGATTCTTATACATATCTATGTTCTTTTACTGGTGCAAAATTTAGTTTCAATCACACAAAGGCATCTGCATTTGTTAGACTCCAACAATACTGTAAAGCGCTCACACTGGTGGTTCTTTGTAATATTTTTGTAGAAACYTTTTGATTTAATTTTTATCCTCCACTCAAAAGTATTTTTTCCCAACTTACAGAATAATTGCAGAGTTAATATCTTCTGGCAGGTCACATTGGCATTGATGATTTTGAGGGCTTGACTGTATTCCAAATTCCTTGGGACTTGATTTACTTTGAATGAAAGTAGATACTTTCACGCCTGAAGCTAGAAATTGTACTACGGGGTTTGCAATTAAATACCATATTCACGTTTGTGT